GACGGCGAGCGCTGCGTTCGGCCCGCGGGCAACGCCTCCTTCAGCAAGAGGGTGCAGAAGAGCATCTCACAGAAGAAACTCAAGCTGGACATCGACAAGAGCGTGAGTGTCAAGGCTCAGCGCAGGGCCGCGGGAAGGGACCCCCGGGGACGCTCGGTGCGCTGGGCCTCGCCGCGCGGTCTGTGCAGAACAGGGGACTCAGGATCGTGGAGGCCGCTCTGTGCTCCGCAACGCTGCCCGCATCCCAGAGGGTGGGCTGGAGGGGCCGAGGAGGGCTTAGCACACTGTCCCTGCCTGGGAAAAGTGACAGCAGTTTCCAGCTGTCACTGTTGCGCCGGATAGTAGAACAGAAAGAGGTGGATTACTTTTGCAAGAATTAGGGGTAAGGGGTGACAAGGGGACCCAGGGGCTCTTCTCCAACTTCGTCCTCCCTCCAGGGACCTTGTCGTTCTTTCAGACACTAGCAAGGTGGCCGCGACTTTCCTGTCTCCCGCGGCCTCCGTCTCTGCAGCGCAGCACAGAGCCCGCTTCGCTGGCAGCGAATGAGTTTTTCTGAGATGTGGCAGAAATAAGGACAAGGCCAGGTCTTAGATGACTCTTGCAGTGGATGTGATTGGAGGGGGGCGGGGAACCAGTTTTCTTGATGGGTAACATTATTTGGTAATGCAGACGGAGGCGGACATTTAAAATTGAATGGGATTGCCCTACACCTTGTGGCTAATTATAGGAAACTTCCTATGTGGTTTCACTTGCTCTTGTTAACGGTTCTGAAGATGTGCCTATTGCCAACTGGTTAGGAACTTTTTAGTCTGACATCTGTTGCTGCAAGCCCTGAGTGGCAGCTTCCAGATTAGGAATTGGGATGGGTTTAAGGAACTTTTAATATTCAGGGAACTTGAGTGACTAATGGCCAACGTTTAGGGCAGTAGTTCTCAACCTTCCCAATGATGCGACCCTTTAATTTTAATACAGTTTCTCGTGTTGTGGTGACCTCAACCATAGAATTATTTTGTTGCTACTTCGTGACTGTAATTTTGCTACTGTTACAAATTGGAATGTAAATAAGTGATGTGTGACCTCAAGGAGGTCGCGACCCACAGGTTGAGAACCGATGGGTTAGGAACAATCAGACATTGCCTGTTACCTGAAAGGGGAGCCCCATCTTTATGCTACTGATGTTGCAGAAACTGAGGCTGGGGGTTGGAAGCAATGGTGCCAAGTGTGGACCGCACTTAGAAGCTGGCTAATTTCCTAAACCTGTCTTGCTTCCAAGTTCATCATTTTTTCTTCTAGACTCCTCTCTTACACAGTCAGTTTTATTTAGTTAACCAGTATAGTCTGGCTCTTTTTGAATAGTGCTGTTTTTCTTTTTAAATGATTGGGAGTTTTCTTTTTACAAATGTCTGTCAATAAATAAATGAGGAATGAATGAATGAAATTCCTACGGAGCAAGCACTGGCTAGACAGTAAGGTGTCCCCTGATAATCACATGTAGGCATGAAAAGGGAATTCTAGGATGGCACTGACTTTATCCACTTGGAAACAGTGCCTGCCTCCTGTGTGGGCTGCTGGCAGGATTTCTGCGAGCATTCCTCACATCTGGATGGTTTGTTGGTGCAGTAGAAACTCCCATTTACCTACTCAGCCCATGGGAAGCCCATGTGGAGCAGTGTTGAGCATCTCACACACATCATCAGGAAGAAAGGCCCTTTGGCCTTGCAGCAGCAGCTCCCAGAGGCCGTGCTTGGAAAGGCGTGTGGTTGGAAGCACAGTCCCAGTCCATTTCAAGGTGGTGTAGCGTCATTATTTCTGAAAGGGTTTCTGTTTCATCCCACAGACTTGGGCAGGAATTCAATCCCAAGTAACTGCTGTGTTACAAGAATTTTTAGCTGTTGTAGAAAGTGAAACAGAAGAGGGGAAAAAAAAAGATAACCACACAGTGAGCCTTTGCTCCCACCCTCAACGCCCACCCCACCACAAAGGCCTCTGAGCCCTGAAGTTGCTGAAATGCATTTCAGACTTAAACATGGTTAAGGACAGAGACTGGCTGTCTTGTAAAAGGATCTAAGGAGGGCCCTTTTAAATTAAGACACCATGATCCTTCAGATGGGCCCTGGAAGCCTCTGTAGTGTAGTAATACATAGCCAACTTGCAGCTGACATGTTTCTTCTCTGCTTCTGGGGAGTGGCTGAGGTTGGGAATAGTATAAAGGAAATGTAGCGGAGAAAGAGACATTTACCAAGGCCTGAGGGGGGCTGGGAGCTGACATCTTCCCATCTAAGCTTTAGAAGCATCCCATTCTGCTGCTCTCCCAGTTTACCACGACACTTGAGAGATGCAGCTTGCTCTCTCAAGAGGCACATACTAGTTTTGCCTACCCGAGTGCCAGCTGCCAGGGGTGGGACAGGGGACACACATCTTGTAGTCTTGTATCACCTGGTGTTACTCTTTAGGACACTGACACATACTTAACATCTGAAAGTTCATTGCCGGAGTGAAATCTGGCAAAGCCATCCCAACTTGTGACCGTGCAAGAGGTGACTTTCACCAGCATAAGCTGTTTTCCGGTATGAGAGTGACTATGTTGGTGTCTCAGCACTTATTGAGCGCCTGCTGTGTGCAAGACAGCATCACAGTATAAACTCAAAGTGACTCATGACTCACTCATCCAACCATGCGAAACGATAATCATCCAACTAAACAGTTTTTGTTAGTTCCTCCATAAAAAGACCCAAATTAATTGATGGTGACTTCCTGTCAGCTTACTTTTATCTTTGGGGATTTAGGGACTAAACTCCAGTTCAGATGTCTCCCCAGAACATTTGTGCACCAGCTGTCCCTACCCAGAGCCATTTACACAGGCATTAGGTTCTGCAGGGTTTTTGAATGGTTCCTCCAGGCAATGGTGGCACTTAGATTCTTAAATAAAAACACATTCTTCGCATTTGAGCTGCTATTGGCACCTTTACTAATATGCTCCAGTGTTTATTAGAAAATCAGGGTAATACCCACTCCCTTTTATGTGGTTCTGCTTTGTGAGAATTCTGTCTCTCTCTGATCCTTTGTGAATCAGATGTGAAGTAGTGGGAGTCAAGTTTTTCAGTGTTACCCTGCAGTAGCAGCTGTTGTGAGTACCATCTCTGCAGTCCCTGCTGCCCATCTCTGCCCACTGAAGTTCAGAATTCCTCCTGGTACCTGTAAAGCCAGTCTTCCCTCAGCTCCAGCCATCTTTCCCTCTTTCCCGTACTACAGAGAGACTTGGATGCTAATGCATTGTGCCGTGTGTGTGTGTGTGTGTGTGTGTGTGTGAGAGAGAGAGAGGGGGGGGAGCATGTTGGACATTTGCTCATGCACTTAAATATACCCCCAGCGCTCTGTATTCTTCTGTAGCCTATAGCAATAAGGTAGTAAACTGTGGCCTGCCTCACTCATCCATCTCTCTCCAGTATTTGACCAAAAGAGGAGGCTCATGACTTCACAGGCTAACACTGACTTTAGGTCTCTTCCCATCAGGTAAGGCACCTGTACATCTGTGACTTCCACAAAAATTTCATCCAGAGCGTCCGAAATAAAAGGAAGAGGAAGACGAGTGACGATGGTGGAGACTCCCCTGAGCATGACGCTGACACTCCTGAGGTAAAAGGCCAGAGTGCTGGCAAAGAGAGCCAGGGGAATGGGTTGTGACCCAAGCCCCCCTCCCAGCCAGAGAATGAGAATAGTGGGTTCTGACTCCAGCTTTCCCTGGCTGTTGTGTTTTCTGAACTAACCAGTCATCTTTGCTTGCATTGCTGTGGTTTGTTTGAAATGTGTTTTCTAGACTTTCAGTAACGTTGGCTCTGAAAGCTTGGAGCTGAGCTGCTCTGTCTGCACTGTCGGTCTCCTGACAGGCCCAGGCTCTGAGGCCCCGGGGTAGGGGCTAGGGGGGCTCTGCTTATGTTCTCTGTAGTAGACGTTTGTAGGACTTTGCCTCTTGAATCTGACCAGTGCCTGACCACGGTGTTGCCTCTTTTAAAACCCTGTTCTTGCCTTTAAAGTTAATGCTGAGCCTGTGTGGTCTGAGCAGCTCTCTCCCCTTCTTTTCTGACCTGAAAATAAAGGTGCATCTTGTCAGTGTTACCAGCTGGACTGTGGCTTTCCCCCAGAGACACACTGTGGTCATTTAACAGGTGATGAAATGTGACATTTGAGGGGAGGGGGCACAAGTTGAATATTATAGGATCATCAGCAACACCCCTCCCCTGACCTCTAGAGGCCATTGACATTGCCTGAGTGTGACAGTGAAAATCATGTCTGCAGGCATTGCCACATATCCTTCGGGATGTGCCCCCTTAAAGTCCTGCACAATACCATGAGCCCTAGCTTCTCACCCAGAAGAGTTCATTGTGTGTTAAAGAAGGGATTCCAGGAAGGAATAGCTGGGTTTCCTTCCAAAGTGTTCTCACTTGGGCTTCTGCAAAAGAGGAACTGTGTCCAGTGTGCACTGAATACTTGACACATCGTTACCTGTGAGCATGGTTCCTGCCTGGGAGTAGAAATAGGCGGACCTCAGTCTGCAGGTGTGGAGGGGCCTGTGAAACTTGGCCCTGTCCCCGTACCTCTCCCCGTGTCCCTCCCCCAGCTTTACTTTCCCGTATCTTCCTATTGCCTGTAGCAATAGAAAGTTATGGTTATTTCATAAATACATTCAGTTTTTTAATCCCTTTGGCCAAACATTTTAGAAAAGGTTTCCAAGAATGCTTTAAATGAATGGGGAGTTCTGCACCCTCATGCTGATCACTCTTTTTTTTTTTTTTAAGTGAGTCCCACTTGCCTGAAGCAAGAGCCTCTCTCTCAGAGGCAGGTGAAGACAACCCTTTCTAGACTTTCCATATTCATGCATGGTTAGCTAGCCCCTTGCTAGGCTAGCTGAACAAAGAGAAGAGGGGTCCTTCTAGACCCTTATGCAGCCACCTGCAGAGGTCCTGGCCCTGACACGCAGGTGAAGACACGCTGTGTTCTTCAGCTCCACCCTGGGAGCTCTGTCAGTCCGTTTTCTAGCTTATCTCCTCCAGTGTCCCTGAGATGGCCTTTCTGGACACCCTGGTGTCCTCTAACTCTTCCTGCAGTGGAGCCCAGCTCGCCAGTGCTGCAGGGGCCCCCTGTTCTCCGAAACCCCCAGCCCTACCCAACCCACAACCCAAGTTCCTTCTGCCTTCCAGGACGGGCCACCGCCTTCTTGTTGTCCAGCCTCTGCTCCAAGTTTCCATGCTCAGAATCATTCCCATTCCTCCCCTCTTTCTCACTACCTCTCTACTGCCCCTCTTCTGCCCACCCCTCCTCCATCCACACAGAACCCTTTTCTAACTGCCTTTGGCCTCCTTGCTAGTCATAGTCCTTGGTGAGCAGTGTCTCCAACTTCTTCCTCCTCAGCCCTCTCAGGTTGATTCAGACATAACTGTCTTTCCTCTCCTCTAGGTTGACCTGTTCCAGCTGCAGGTGAACACTCTCCGACGCTACAAACGGCACTACAAGCTGCAGACCAGACCAGGCTTCAACAAGGCCCAGCTAGCAGAAGTAGGTAGACAAATGCGAGAGGTCCAGCCTGTGCTCCTGTGGTCCTAGCTAGCCCTCCCACAGATCATCCACTCATTGCATCTTCTCCATGCTTGGGAGGCAAATCTGTCCCTTTTTGCATGACAGAATCAAGAACTTTCCACACAGAATAGAAAGTCCTATTTCCCAAAGGAAGCATGCACAGAGACGGGTAAACCTTCTTAAAGTCACACAGCAACCTGAGGACCCTTGTTTCTGGTTCATGGCATCATTTTTACAAGGTTTTCCATAGAACCAGTCCTTTCAGGTGTATCAGTGTTATTAGCCACTGTGCCTTTAGATTTAGGAACCATTTTTTTTTCCTCTGAGTAGTAGGGATCAAACTCAGGACCTTGTGTATGACTAAGCAAATCATCTACCAGTGAACTTCCCCCTCACCCTCCAGGACCAACCCGCACCACTTCTTGACCTATGGAGTTAGTGGAAGTCTTTTTCTATATAAGTGAATATATATATATTCTATATATATTCGTGGCACCCAAGAACATATTTTTTCTTCACTGAGTTCTTCATTTGGTGGGAATTGGGAGGAGGTCACCCTTAGCACCTCTCTCTCTCTCTCTCTCTCTCTCTCTCTCTCTCTCTCTCTCTCTGTCTCTCTCTCTTTCTCTCTGTGTCTCTCTCATATGTATCAATACTGATGGGCTCAAGTGACTCTCCTGCCTCAGCGTCCCATCTAGGCACATGTCACAGTACTTGGCTTCCTCATCCCTCTTATTTCTCCTGCCTTTTGTTGTAGGAAATTTGAGAGGTGGGGAAAAGAAAAACACAATCCAGAGACTTTATTATTTCCAGGTCTTTCTTCATCTGCCCTGACCACCTCCACCCATGTGGGGTCTACTGAAAAGCTCCCAGCCGGCTTGGGTTTGGGTCTGTCTGATGTGTCTTCTCCCTTCAGCCTTTCCCTCGCCAGCATAGAGGTACAGCAGCAGCACACAGCCTCGCTGCTTACCCACCGCCAGCCAGGAGGAAGAGTGGGGTTTTCCAGGCTAAGCCAACAGAAGCAGGACATGGCCAGCGAGCACTCTCCTTCAGACTGCCACACTTTCCCTACTTAGAGGAATTCCTGGAGCCAGACTCATCTGTTTTGACTGTTCATTTGCCATTTTGGGGTGGTTTTTGTTTTGTTTTCTTGCATGTGTGTGTTTTCAAGGCAACTGAGGCTAGTGATCTTGAACTCCTGACCCGTCAGTCTCACCCTCCTGAGAGCTGGGATACAGGCATTCAACACCACACCCAGCTTGACACAATTTTTTTAAAACTTTTTTTTTTTTGGTCCATTTCCAGAGCCTGAAAGGCTTGATGGCAAATAGCCAACCAGGGAAGTCCAGCCTCCTTACACCAGAGGATAGCTGAAGCCATATCAGGATGACTAGCTGTTACTGAAGTATATCTCTGTCTGTATCTTGGTGGTATCCTGGGCCTCAATGGTACACTTTTGGTAGCCCAGGAGAAGAGCCGCTAAGCCTTGGAGCAAGGGGACCGCTACATTCTGCAGCTCTTTGACAAGTCTAAATGCCAGGCAGTCACTTCCGGAAGCAGCTCCTGTTCCCTCTTTACAGAGTGTAGGATGTAGGGCCCTGATGTGCACATAGCTTAAGGGACTTTGGTCTTTCCTCCTGTGTAGACTGTGAGCCGACACTTCAGGAACATACCGGTGAATGAGAAAGAGACGCTTGCCTACTTCATCTACATGGTGAAGAGTAACAGGAGCAGACTGGACCAGAAATCGGAGGGCAGCAAGCAGCTGGAGTGAGGCGCAGGTGGCCGGGTAGGCAGAGGCCTTGGTGAGAGAACAGCAGTGCGATGCTTGATGACAGGTGGTGTCTGCACATCTCAGCCCATAAGGACTGTTCACATCTACTGTAAATAAAGTTTGAATGATGGATACTGTAAATCTCTCTGTCAAGAGGGTTATATTCTTACAGGTTAGCATGTGTATAGAAAGACTTTCACTGCTCAAACTGAAAAAAAAAAAAGTATCATAAAAGGAATTTTAAAACTGTGTCTTGAATACTCACCAGAGCTTTAAATCAATTCTCCTGGAAATGTTGGGTGATGTGCAATTTGGCAGTCACCGTGCAGTACCAGGCTGCCACGGGTAAGACTCAGCCCTGGCGGCATGGCTCAGTGACAATGGAAGCACCGAGTGGGCCCACGTTTGGACTGGCCCTTGCCGGCTGGGACACAGGCATGCTACTTTATTGCAAGTTTTACCATTTAGTAGCGAATCAGTTTGACACTGGTCCCCCACTGGCCCTGGGACCTTTATGCAGTGGGCACTCAATGTGTGTTGGCCAAGAGCTGTCACAGCTGTGCAGCTTCTGCACGCTCCTCCTAGCCCAGACCTGTTACTTGTGTTACTCTCTGCTTAACCATGTGTAAGTCATCTGCTTAAGAGACGGAGGAAACCTTGCTCCTCCACAAGGAGTTGAGGTAAGCAGGGACCTCTGGGCAGTTGTACGTGTCCGTTGAGATTCTAGAATTGACACGAGGATGTCACAGACTGGTCATGGTGGTGCATGCTTTAGTCCCACCACTCGGGAGGACAAGGTAGAGAACTCAAGAGTAAGCTAGTACCTTGTCTCAGAAACAAAACAGTGAACCTGGGGATGGCTCATCCAGGATAGGCACTTGGTGCCAAGCCTACTAGCCTGAGTTCTAATTCCTGCTGGCCATGTAGTGGAGAGAACTGGCTCTACACACACCACACACACAACACAATAGATAAATGAATTTTTTTGTTTGTTTTTGTTTTTTGAGATAGGGTTTTTCTGTAGCTTTGGAGCCTGTCCTGGAACTAGCTCTTGTAGACCAGGCTGGCCCCTGCCTCTGCCTCCTGAGTACTGGAACTAAAGGTGTGCACCCCCACCGCCCAACAGGGTTTTTTTTTTAAGTTTTAAAGAAAACCATAGCCTTCCCTGAGAATCTTCTGCACTTTACCCAGAGTGAGGTATATACCATGACCCATTAGACTCCTGGCAGTAAGTGCTCTGGCAAAGATAGAGTGTCATGTTTCCAGTCTTTAGTTGACAACCTGCAGGAGAACTGCCCAGGTCCCCCATGGTTCCTGCTCAGAAGCCCAGCTGTGGGAAGACAGTGTGGCTGGACTTGACGCCTTAGCCCTGTAAGGCCAAAAAAGGGGAAACAAAAGTCACTGCCACCTGATGCTCAAGTGAGAAAGGCAGATCTGCCTCCTTTCGGGGAGAGCACTTGCTAAGGTAATTTTTGAAGTATTAATTTTTTTCATTGTTTGAGTCAGACTCTGCTGTCTAGTTATGTCAGAACCAAAGCATCCTGGGAGATCAGAGCTTTCCTATCCAAAGATGTTTGCAGAATCTCCAGTGTGACAAAGGGTGTGGGTGGGAGGATCAGAGAAAAAGGTTGCTAATTTCCAACCAGCCTAGTATACATTTGGTCAGATGTCTCATTTTCCTGTTTAACTTCAATTTTGAATTTTTCTTAAGCCTTAACTAACAAGAGAACAGCAGAGGCCTGGCCCAGCAGTTTTAATGTCTCCCAGATGACTTCCCCTGAGCACCATCTCAGAAATCAGAGTTAACCTCACACTGAGTGAGTGAAGGAGTGTTTGATGGTCTCCATTCTGTGGGGCAGAACCCTCTTGCTTCTGTGGAATGGGGGCGGGGCCTCCAATGTCACTAACTTGCAATGTGTTCCATTGTAACCAAGCCCCCAGAGTGCTCAAAATGCCTGCCAAGCAGACTGCAGCCTGATAGAGCGTGGATAAATAGGTGTATGTAGAATATGAACGGTGTCCTGGTTGCGAGCAAGGGGTGGTGAGGTGTCCCCTGGATGCTTTCGGTCCTCACCTCCGTGCCGAGGTTGGTCTCTGTCCTACCAAATGGAGAGGTGGAGGCAAATGGAGAGAGAAGTTAGTGTCTGAGGACAGACAGGATCTTTAATTTAACTGGTCCTGTAGAAATGTCAGTGTCTTATCCAGAAAGAAAATGTAGCTTCCTGATATTTAAGCCAAACTGTGGGCATTTAAGTTGTATCATTGTTTCTTCAGCATCATGTTTAGTTTCCTGTGCAGAGGCTCAGTTCTGTGCAACATGGGGCATTAGGCTCAGTCTGGTCCACGTTTCTATGTCCAGATCCAGGTGGGGAACATCTGCCCTCTAGTCATCTCAGAATCCTTATCCTCAGATGCACACACCCTTGGAGAAGTAGAGGCCAGGGCTCTCTTCCTCAGCCTGTCAAAACATCACCTGACAGAAAAGGCAAAGCTAGCCGGGTGATTGTGGTGCACGCCTTTAATCCCAGCACTCGGGAGACAGAGGCAGGCGGATCTCTGAGTTCGAGGCCAGCCTGGTCTATAAGAGCTAGTTCCAGGACAAGCTCCAAAGCTACAGAGAAACCCTGTCTCAAAAAACAAACAAAAAGAAAGAAGGAGAGAGAGAGAGAGAGAGAAGGCGAGAAGGCAAAGCTATTCAAACTTATATTTTTCTTGTGTCCGGCTGCTGTGTGATCAAAGTGGCCAGCCCCTTGCCTCCTGTCTGCTGGCTTAGCCATAGCAAGAGTCTACTGCCTTCAAGAGCAACAGGGTTTGTGGAGAGAGCAATGCTCATCTCGGCGCCCATATTTTTATATTGCCTGTCGTTGCCTCCCACATTCCCCCTCCAAATCTGTGACGGCTCAGTGTGGTCTTTTCTCTATTTGGTGCTCCTGGGCAAAACTGGAATTTCAAGTCCAGAACTGGCATGGCTTCGCATGCTCCCATCCTGTCTCTGGTCTAGCCTGGTGTGGTTCTTCAGTGTGCCCATAAGGTGGTCATATGCAGACATTCATAGCCTACCATTCATATTGGGCTTGAAAATTTTTACAGCGCAAATGCACAGGCTTCTTGTATCTCATTTCATGGAACAAACTGTGAATAAAAACCATCATAGCCAATCCTCAGGAAAGACAGCAAGCCAAAATTCCAGGTGGGGTTGTGGCTTGAGGAACTGGGCTTCTGTGTGCTGCGTGTCCCTGCCATAGCTAGCTATAATCATAGTAGCCTCTCAGAGAACAAATCTTCATGTTGCAGGTAGAGCTTGAGGCTCCCTTTGTATACGTGTGTGTGTGTGTATAGGAACTTCCTGTTAATACTTTGCCAAGTGGCTGCCTGGTGTGTGGTGGTAGAGGTAACTTGTCCACTGCAGTGGGTGGTCCCAGACGTAGTCCCAAAGAAGTTGCCTTATCAACGCCATCTGAAGGCTCTCTGTTATATGACGGGATCTATATGAAGAGCCTCGGTCCTCCCACCCAGCTTCTCCATTGGTGCTGACATTCTGCCTACCCATCTCAGCCAGGAAGCAGTCTGCACTTGGCCACCTCCAAGGACAGAGAGCCCACTACCTCCTGGGGAAGACTGTTCTGTCCATTAGCTTCTAGATTTCCTGTGCTCTCTGAAACTTGGGGGCCATGTGGACAGTGGCTCACTGCACAAAGGACCCAGTCCCAGGCATTATCCCAAACACATTGTATCTTTTTTAGAAGAGAACAGCTGGATATATCATGGTTTTTTGACTGCCACTAAGTATTGGTCTTCGTTCCTTGTTGGAAAATGTTGAAGAAACCCTTCAACCCTGTGTCCTTGCTTGCTCATGCCAAAGCTGCCAACAAAGCACCAGCCCACTGACAGGACTCCCAAGTCATCGGAGGCCTTAGTCCCATGCCAGCCACACACAGCCTTGCAGCATCTCTGAGGGGAAACTTCAGTTGGATAGTTTTAAGCAGCACACGGCTTTGCCTGGAATCTAAGGTTCCCAGGTTGCTGAGGACTCATGCCTTCCCATCCCTGTGAGTGAGGCTTCACCAGCAAAGCTGAAGGTACTCCATGTCTCAGTGTCAGGGATGCAAGTTCCTCAGAGCCACTCAAAGTTGCTCTCTGATCAATTTTTAGTGAATTGGAGAAGTAAAGTCCTAAGGGATTTGCCAAGTTCATGTTAGCGAGGGGCCTTTGTGGCCCACCGCTTGGTCATTTGCAGAGTGACTGGTGATCTAAGGTAAGCTGCCCTGACATGCCTCAGAGCTTATGACTGCCTGTCCAGGGCAGCTGAGCTCCTGGGAACAAGCTTCTGCAGAGTTCCAGGTGGAATGAGATAAGGTTAGGGGACTGCTGACCTTAGCAAAAGGATTGGCCAAGGAGCAGATCCCCGCAGGCCTGCCCAGCACAGCCCCCTGGCCCCCTGCCACCTAGGATAGCTATGAATGTGGCCCAACACAGAATCATAAATTATTTGAAGCACTATGAGATTTGTTTTACAATTTTTAGAACTCAATAGAGTTCTTAAGCATGTATTTTTGTTGATGACAATTAAGCCCAGAGAAGCCAAAGGTTGGGCCAACATCTGTGTGGGTTGCAGTGTTAGCTGCACTGTGTCCTTATACAGTGGGCTTAGCCTGTGATCGCTGCATACCTGCTGCCTTCTACCCTGTCTCTGAGGCTGGGTGATTGCCCTGGCTCCAGGTCCCTACTGAACTAAGCAGAGCAGTCAGATGAAGGGGAAACAAGCTCAGGCTCATGCCTTAGGGAGCACTGTGCATTTGGGGGTGCCTTTGCATTATTTCATTGGATTGCAGACTGCTTCCAAATTTATGGTTGGGAAAAGAAAAGTCACTGTGATATTTGAAGTGGGCAAAGTGGGCCTGGGGCTTCCGGCAGAGCATCTCCGGTGGGTTACTTTCCCCTGCTGGCACCTCTAAAAACAAAGTCTCTCTCTGCTTACTGTCATGCGCCATCCTTGCCTGCTTTCTATTGCCTGTGATGCCCATTGGAATATACTTGGGGAATGGGGTTTGTCCGCTTTGTAACTGCCTTATTGAAAAGTAAGTGCCCTTCCATCCCAGGCCTCCAACTGTATTTGTTTTCCTGCCAAACTTGGGGGGAGG